GTGGAAAATCGACTGTTCCCCCGACCCTGGTGCTAAGGGATGTAAACACGTGCTATTAAGTGAAATTTCGATCGGTACAAACGCACCACCAAACTTAGATTTTAATTGTAATGTTAATCCAATTCCACAAGGGATGGTGGCTAATGACGTTAATGTATATCTTATAAAATATTTTTGATATTACGTGCGTTTATTAGACAGCACTTCAGCGGGATCAAACCTCCCTGCAGTTGCTGCCAATTTGCCTCGTTTATTTTTGCTTTTAAATATTTTTGCAAGTTAAAAACAAAAGCAAAACCCTGCGAAGGTGTCATTCTGGGTGTCGGATAAGAAAATGTCGCCACCATCTTTAAAGAGACGCGCCTCTTCCCTTTTAAACCTTAGGTTGCAGGGTTAAACATTTTGGGAAATAACTTTTGGGCAAATGTACGACAAGCTAACCCCTTTAATGATCCTGGATCCGCCCTTGATATATACCCCTAATTTGAGGAACATCTGTTTGACTAACAATCGTAAAATGGTTGATTCCTTGATGGAGAGTTCAACATATTTGAATTTTCGAGGGTTGATTTGAAAATGTCAGTTTGTTCTCTCCCTCCTACACATTTACTTTGATGTAGATCTCCAACCATCCAAGGAAAGGTTGGTCTGATCCCACCATGAGGTAATAAGCCATTCTTAAGTTTGATGGATTTTTGCAACACGTCGCTACACTTTAAGGTGCGAAGATGCCGATGCCCGTTTTTTCGGGTTCAACTCTCATTAGGGGGCTTTGTAAATACTTACATGGATAATAGTAACGAGCCAATGCCGCGTTCAGAACGGCGACAGCGGGGCACACCTTGTCTAGCCTAAGTGCAGTGCTGCCGTGCAAAGCTCAATTTCCCGGGCCAAATGGTTCTCGACACCCGTGCTACTGCTGGGCACGGTGTTTGTACCGTTTTTTATTTACAGACAGGGACAGAAAAAACGAGGGTACATGTAATAATTCCCTGGTGTTTGCAAAAAGCCCAGATGACATTTCAGGGTAAGGATCAAGAAGGCTACAGCATCAAAATGATTTGAGTCTTTTGGCTGTTTTCATTCTTTTCTAGGGGAAAAGATTTTCTTTTAAGCCTTCTGTCTTTAGGTCTGTTGTGGAATTCGGTAATAGTCAAAGGGTCGAATCTCAGGCTCAAACTACAAATTATGCAGAAACCGGGGCACCTCGTTTTGAAGAAGCAGTTTCGCAGGACTTTCGAGTAAATGAGCATCACCTTATTTCCTCGGAATATCTTTCCATAGCGGGCAATGATGATGGTGCCAGTCAAGTTGAGGTCAGGATGGTTTTTCTCCAGGTATTCAAAATCTTCCACTCGAGCGTAATTAGCATACACCAGGTCGCCCTTTCACAAAAGAGAAACAAAAGGAAGGAATTTGAAAACAGGAGCACGTTTTAGTTTCTCTTTCTTTTAAATACATGCGTGTTTGTTATTCTAACAAACCCTCAAAAGGAGCATCAGCAGCAATGAATAAACGAAATATAGACAGACACATCCTGCGCAAATGATTGGAAAAGCAACAAAGCAAAAAAAAAAACCCAGAAATATCGTGCACCCATTAAGTGATAAAATCATGGTGGAAATGACAAATGCTATGGGAAACGGGGAACAAGGAGTTTGAGTGGATTGAAAGGGGTAGGTAATGTTACCTCTGGTTCGCCTTGATATGAATATGCATTAAATGGCGGCACGACATCAGGGTGGTCGTCGCCAGGTCTAAGCATTGCCTCCTCCAGTCGCGAGTGGAATATCTCATTACCATCGTCGAGGATAGACACCTGATTGAGCCAACAAGAATATACATTTGTAATATGATGACAAAAAACAGGGCTATCTACTGAAGAGGTATAGCCTTCCACAGATGTAACTATAGCTTTGAGGAGAAATACTTACCACACCCCAAATGTGCGTGTTATGAGATGTTTCGTGCACACAATCTTCCACTCATAAAAAAATATGATTCTAAAGAGCGACGTCGTGAACAGGAATGGCCTTCAAATTCTTTGAAAAAGGACTGAAAATCCACTTTTTAGTTAAAAACTACTTTTTCATCATAGACTCAGGAATTCCCGTCGTCTGCAGTAACTTACTGCCCCTTTCTTCAAGATTTTCAAACTCATAAATATAATTTTTCTTTCCTGTGCTGATGTGGCGTCACCGGGGAATTAACAACGATGTGACACACTAACTTTATGCAGCAGTATAAATCTTTTTTTTTTTTACCGCTAATGGGTCATTAGGGAAACATTCCCATAAGAACGTGCAAAATTTTTCCAACTTTACTGTCCCATAGGCCTAATTCAATATTCCCTAGTCTGATCTGAACCACACTTTGTATGTTTTCAATTTAGACCCTAATCTAGCCTCCTTCTGGTAGTTTGAAAATGGGAAGACACTGAAATGTCTCCCTAAAAGCCAATGTCTCGCTAATGCTGAAAAATTTACCACAAAATGTCTCCCGAATGATCTATTTGTAAATATATCAATAACAACAAAATAATAATAATTTTAAAAGGAACACGTCACTAGAGGAAACTTGGCCCCTGCTCCCTGCCTGGTACGACACACAACTTGAGTGAATCGAACCATAAAGGCGCCGCTATAACAAGGGTTAAGCAAGGTTACCTTCAGAAACACGTGACACCATGCAACAACAGCTGTTTTATAGCTCAAAGATTTTGAGTGATGCCGGGGTGAGAGGTTGGAAAATCAGCGACCGCGCAATGCGAGGAGTTCTCTGGCTCAGGTCATACTTGGAGCGAATGCAAAAGTAAATAATAATAAAATTTCAAAAAGTTACAAAATTAAACATTTAACAATAACGCAAAATTTGACATCATGAATCATTTGAGGCGAAATTTACCATTCTAGTGGTCGACTCTGCGAATACGCTGGGCATTTTTCCCCCTGATATTTGCGTTCGTGTTTTGCTTTTTTGACCAGTATAAACAGGCCCTCTTCCATGACTAGTGCACTAACACCACTCAAATGAAGGCACACAGCAATAGCTTTACCTTGTTTGGAATATTGTCATCGGGGTAAGACAGAAGTACATCATAAGGAACGAGTCTAGCCGAGTCTAGTCCTTGTTCTTCCCACGTGTCACGCATGTACTCCGCGTTGGAACGCTCAGCTGGAGAGCCGGCGATATGAGGAACCTTAGTGAAGTACCTATCGGTGATCAACGAAGGATATCATTAAGACTATAATAATATAACAATACTAAAAAGACATAAAGATATCACATCATATTTTACTTGTATCCATGAGGCTAAAAAGTGATCAACTTTCAAAATAAAACAAAACGTTGCAATGTCTTAATATGGCAATTTTTGTTTGTTATCAAAGAGAACATGCTTTTTGTTTGTGATGTACCCTCAAGCATCCTGATGAAAACGAACAATGTTTCTATTGATTTCCATTGTTCAAGATTCGACGTAGGCTTACAATGCGAAACTGGCTCTGGGTTCCTCTTCAAATCATATTTAAAATCAGGCTGACTGATTCTGCTTATTGACATAGGGAATTTTCGAGCTTAGTGAATTCTCAAAAGTTCGTTCATCTTCTGTTCTATCGACAATAACTTGTGACGTATGCTGAGCCTTAGCCTTAAGGCTTGAGGACAAAGCCATGACCTTTGCTTTCAGAGATCAGTGACTTGTAATTTTAGAGCCTTGCTCTTCAAGGCCAACTGATCTTTTTAATATTTTCAAGGTAAATTTGTTCGAAATGTTGCTGTTCTGCAAACATTCAACCTCGGTTCATGCGGCACTGAACTGTCTACAAAGTCTGGTGTAATAAAACTTACCATGTTTTGTCATGGAGGTAAGAAACGCCATTTATTTTTACATCTTCACTTTCACTGCAAAATTTGCTGCTTACCCCAACAGACAGGTATTTTAATTTTATTTATCTAAAGTTTTTTTAAATTCTAAACTTGATGGAACTGATAGAAAAGTGTGTCAGGTTATATTTCACAGGGGAATGGTGGTATAAACAACTGTGCAGTTAAATGAGCAGTATTGTACTGTATTTATGCAACATTAATCGACTGTAAACGAAGTTTACAGTAAACAAATGTGTTTGTTTGTTACACGTATTTATTGTGCTTTTGTGAATACAGTACAATACGGTATACTAACAGTAATGTTTTACGGTATAAGCTTTGACCTCAGTTTGCCTATTGACACAAATGGGGCGTTGCTACACAAGTACTTTACATCAGTCGGACAAAATGTTTGTGCTTTTTGGATGTAGTTTTTATGCGCAAATGCAAACCATTGCTAAAAAAGATAAATCGAACGTGAGAAATGAAAAATTTGACTTTTTGATGTTCCAACTACGATTGCACTTGGGAGCCGAACAATGTACATAATTATATACCATGTTAGTGCACATTAAGAATGTACATAAAGTTCTGCCGCGATCAAGGCTTCTGAATACGAGGTATGTGTACCTTATACGTAATTATATTTGACCTAAAAAAATTAAAATTAACCTGAATCTGAGAATTCTTTATCAATAGAACGTATACCTAAACACGAATGTACAATGAACCCGTAATTAATGAAAACGGTAACTTGCCGTGTCTAATGTTTACATCAAATTAATGTAAATAATTGCGATAAGTTAATGTTGTTTTTATGGTTAATTGCTGTCCAATAAATGACGGCGATTTACCGTAAAATGTTACTGTAAATTATTAACAGCATTCTACTGGCGCCCGTACTGTGAATACTTACAGGGAAAAAATTAGAGTGGGGGACTTTGTTTCAAAAGCCAAGAAAACCACAGAACATTGCGTTTTCAGTCAATTTATAAGAATCGTTTTAGATCTTATTCAGTAATTCATATCTTATTTAAATCGGTCTAACTTCTGTAACACATACCACTTTAAACCATGTAAAGATGCAGTTTGCTGATGACAAAAAAGCAACGTTATACAACACCACAGAACTCTATTCAACTCAGTATCCTCAACCTGCAGGTCAATTTCTCGTATTTGTTAAATGGTGTTACATGGCATAAACAGATCATATTGATTGCTACTTGTGCTAAAAAGAAAAAAGACCAAAAGGAATTCCCTTATGTAATGGAGATCATTCCTGCAATGCATCATCGGATTTGAATGGAATCTTCAGTTTTGAAGAGATAATATTTTCAGCTTGAGTTTGAAACCCAAACCAACAATTTCCCTAGTGATCATTTTAGGAGAAAATAAATGGTATATAGAGGTTGTTTTTCTTTATGGGGGGGTACGCTGTATAAGTGCCAATGGGGGTAGCAATTTTACACTTGAGGGTCTTGGCCTTAGCCCTTGGGGGCCAAAGCCTGGGCCTTGGCCTTGATGA